AAAAAAATTCGGCAGAAGAGCTCAGCCCCCTCAACGATTTGTGAAACTTTTTCGTTTGCTAGTCCAACCGAAGTGGTTGAATCTGCAAGCGAGCGTCTTCAAAAAAGTGAGAATGCATTCGTATTCGGTGATCGGAACTTTTCTCCGAGTGGAAGAGACTTGGACGGCAGGGACTAACAGTTACGAACATCAATGAGGAAAAATCCGGTCGGACAGACGAGCTGCGGTTTCTTTACGACTTCGTGGTGTTTTAATAAAAAACGCTGGACTGCTTCCAATAGTCTCTTCAGTTGTTACTGGGACAGCAGAGGTCTTAGTCTAGTAATCTGGTTCAGATCTTCGAAAACACTGTTTTAGATCAAATCTAAACATTTTGAGAGTACTGAAATGGGTGGAGGGACAGGGACAGGAAGACAGGGACGGGGAGACAGGGACAGGGAGACAGGGACAGGGACAGGGAGACAGGGACATGAGGATAAGGAATACTGTACGAGGGCTGTTCTGAAATTTTTAGTTAAAGAAAAAATGCCAATAATTTTGTTGAATTCCATTTATTGTTTTTCGAAGTAGTCTCCCCCAACACTAATACACTTATTCATTCTTTGAAACCATTTGTCAAAACAACTTGAAAATGCTTCTTTTGGCAAGTCCTCAAACAGCCTCTTGAATTCTGCAACGGCTGCATCTGAACTCAAAAATGTCCTTCCCCGCAACTTGTTTTTTGTTGTAGAGAATAAAAAAATCGTACGGGGCCAGGTCCGGACTGTAATGGCTCATCCGGAATGTAATGGATGGCTCACAAGTTGGACACCAGATTGGTGTAAAAAAGTCCAACGTCCGAACGGCACTGTGCGCCGGTGCGTTGTCGTGGTGAAGCAGAATTCCTCGCAAGCTACTTCTTTCTCAACCGATCTGGACTTTTTCGAACAGTACGATCTTCTAATGGTATGACAGCAACTGGGCCACTCTGATTGAAGAATGCATTTCATCTCGAACCACTTCAGTGTGGCACGAGTAACTGGATAAATTTTCCGGAAACAGCCGATCGGAACTCGCAGGACCGACCCGGCACGAGCAGAAAGAAATGGGTCCGAGGTATCTTTCCTCCTTTTCGCGAGTTTCATTGGAGGATGGGCCGACTTCATCGCGTATGTACTGTACGTACCGACATATAATTTTTTTTTCATTTTCGGCCTTAATTTGCGATCCATCTCTCGACAAGAAGTAGAAAAAAAATTCCATCCGCAACTCCACGAGTTCCTTTCCCCTCCCCCCCCTCTCTGAGTACGGTTTGACGGCTTATATTAATAAGTTTCTAACTTCTAGGCAATGAAGAAAGATGAAAGGAAATTCGCGTTAGTGAGGATGATGGGAAGTTCAGCGAGAGCTAATTCGTAAAGAGTATCAGATCGAGTTCATGGTTTAAAGTTCCGAAACGATTATACAATATAATATCGCATTCGCTCGGAACTCATCTGAATCGCGCCTAGGAAAGAGATAGAGCCTGTCCCATCAGGAAACCCAGTAATGATAATGTGAAAGCTGTCTAATGTAGACAGATATGGCTGGGGGGAAGGGGGGAGGGGGAGGGGGATGGGGAGGGGGAGTGGGAGGAAAGGATCTATTACACAATGAGGTTGTCACCTGAGAGCCTCATTACGCGACCAGAAAAACAAGACGGAATGGGAAACTCGCAGTTTTGGCTTTTCCAGCTGCCCCCAGGCTATTTCAAGTCCCTTTGTGAGTTTCCTCCTTTTTTTTGTTCGAATTTGTGCCCTCAACAGGACGAGGGCCAGTTTCATTTTCTCGTTTCGACTCCAAGATGGCGGGAGCGAGCGCGAATCCGGTCGCAGCCGGGCGCGAACCCTCGCCTTCCGGCCGGCGGACGAACGAGCGACCTTCCGCCGTGCAGCTGGCGTGCCCGGTGACCTTAAGCGACCTTCGGCTTCGGCTGGCGGGCCCAGATGAGGGCTGAGTTTCTTCGACTCCTTCGACGATCGAAGGTCGATGCATGAGAAAAGACTCAAGATGAAAAGACTCAAGATTCCGCGATTAACATGGATTTTGAGGAAATGAGAACAATAACTGTAATGTAATTTAACGTAATGAATAGGGATGTACAGGGCGTTACCTATTCTTATCGACGGAAATCCGTAGTTTAACTTCCGTCCGAGAGATGGCCGCACATATGCTTCGTTTTCCTACTGCTTCCCGAGTTTCGCTCAGTCGGCGGGAACGAGTCCTTAATTCTTGCTTTGCATCATCACCATTTCTCCTTGGTTTTCGAGGTAATTTGTGTCGAGAGCATCCGTTTGCTGTTGCAGGAAATTTAAGGAAATCGATGACGGCGAATCACGATTCGGAGGCGAGGTGGATCGCGGGCCGAGCGATTCGGGGAGAGTTCGAGCCGCGGTGAGTTCGCGCGGGGAAGTGGGAACGGGGCGGAGGATTTTTTCCTCTCGAGTTTCGCGGTTCGATGGAGGTCATTCTGCCGGTCCCTCTCGGGTCGAGTGAAAGCCGGATTTGGTGCAGATGATTTCTATATGGAAAGCGAAAAACGTCTCATTTCCGGAGAAGAACCCGGTTCAGGCGAAAGGATCGCGAAAATTCGGACCTCGCGGCGTTCGACCGCGAGCCTTCGAGTCGCGAAAAGAGACTTGCGAACGCGACTGGTTCCCCCGCTTTTCTTTTCCCGGCACTAAATTTTGAGGCTGCGATTTCCGTTCGCGAAATCCTTTTTCCTCTCGTATTTTTTCGTCTTCGAACTCGCCAGTCTGACAAGTTTGACTCTTCTTTTAACGTCGGTTACGAACGCGACGCGAGACGGTCGGAGAGGCCGGAGAGGCCGGAGAGGCCGGATGGAATCCGGCCAGGCTCCAGACGTTCCAATGGCATGTGCAATATCGCAGACAGATGCGACTATCGCTTCTCCCGGACGGAACGAGACAGACGTCGGGACCGATAAGAATAATTCGGGATGAGCTCGGGATGATCCAAACCGGCAGAATCGATACGAGGATCCCCTTTTCCTCTTTTCCTCTCCCATCGCGGGCGTTGGCTTGTCGCACTGCATGACCCAACGTACACGTCCTGAAACCCCATCACGATTCGATCGGTGCGAACGACATAATCAATAACGTAACGAAACTTAACCGTGGAGGGATCAAGATGGAACGAATCCAATCTTTCGTGTTTCTTCGGCTGTTATATTTTTGGATCGTGTAATAATATCCAACGTAATTCGCGCATCACCCCATCATCCCGCCTAGAAAACATCAACGGACGAGAGCGATGCTTTCTACTTTTCTGAAAATATCTGAATCCCTCACGCGATCTTCATTTTACGTGATCCCAATTTGGAGCGTTTAATCTGCTCGATCGTGCACGAACGATGAATGCCTTCTTTACGGGAATCCCCCACTGCGCCACACAGAGTTGCCTCAGACTATTTCCGGTCGCTCTCGTGCACGAGTGCCCTTCTCCCCCCTCTTCCTCCCCCAGTGGTAGATAATCCTCTGACTTACTTAGGGGAACCAAAAACAAAGAAACCATTCGTGGACTCCTTTACCATCACGGCATGACTACGACGAGTCATTTGACGCCATCTCGTGCACGAGTGCCCTTCCCCCCCCTCCCCCCCCCCCCCCCCCCCCCCCCCCGTCTTGCTCAGAGGGCGGAGGTCTTCTTATCGCGTCGGAGAGAGGCAGGAGACACGAGTGGATCCGTTCACGGGGGATCGGGGTGTGTCAACACTAGTGCTATCTGTTCTCGGGGTGCGTGTTCCGGATGGGAGACGATAAGAGAACGGGCGGATCGGATCGTTTTCGCCGGATCATCCGATCAAACTCGGCGCTCTTTCGGGTTCGACGACGAATTTCGAGAAAGACGAAATCGGAAGGACTTTTGGAACGAAGCGATGTTGCTGCCGCCGGTTGCACGTGGGTCGTTTCCATTTCTCTCGGTGCCAGCGTGGGGGAATCGGCTGTCTGTTGCGAGGGATTCAATCGGGACCGGAGTCATCGATGCAATGGAAAAGTCATATACTTGTTTCGTCCTCTCCGGCGTTGCAGCGACCACGCCGGCATACGTTTGCCTCTCCGGCCATCGTGTCGTGCTATTTTCTGTGCAAAGACGATGAAGTCGTGCCTTGATCTGCAGGTGATCGGGGAGATGCTAGAAGATGGCCAAAATCAAATTAATACAATAATAACAGTTTGCTATTGCAGTGATGTCAAATTATCAGCTGAAACAGCTGGAAATCGGTTCTTGATTTAATGTTATAAAGACTCCCGAGGGGAAATCACGATGGGCTGAAAAATGCAGAGAATCTCAACTTCGGTACCGGAAGTCACTCTCACAGTTCCCTCGCCCTTTCTTTTTTTATACTTTTTTTTCATCACCAAGGAAAATATGTGTCGTGAGAAATACTTGACTTCGTCTTCTGGTTGCCTGAAAAGGATAGCAAAAGTAATAACCGGTTGGAAGCGATCGGCTCGACCTCGTCGCATGCAATGGATAAGTCGAAATTATGTAAACATTTCTTAATCTGATCCCTAGCGTGAAATCGACTTCTTGGGCCAGGGATACGATACGATGGGTATTAAAGAAAAACAATGACCCTGCTCGAGTCTTCCGCTACGATCTTCGACGATGAAGGGCCGAGGGAAATTGTCATCATGTTTCCCGGTGACGATGCGCCTCGCGCGTTGCCATCGATGCCGAGAATAAGGCTTTTAAATGGAGGTCGGAAGGTGAACGGGTTCCGTCGAGCCAAAGGGAGTGACGGAGACGTGCGGCGGATGCATGGCAATCGTGGCCGAGTCTTGGCAGTTTTCAACCGTTAAGATTTCCGACTTCCGGAGATGTCATTTTTTTCTGCTGAAGCAAGGTGAGTTCTAAGTTTCTCACCGGGCGAATGGCACGACTGACTGTGCGACACCTGCATGCTTAAGACAGGTGGATTTATCCGAGTCGTGTTTCTGGATGCAAAGAACAAAACGAAAACGTGGAGAAGATTTATTTTCATACCGTGTTTTAATCACAAGAGCACTTCGTTCGCTTCAAATTTAATACATTTTTATGGATCCGATATGGAGATCGATCACGGTGAACAAGTAAAGGCACCAACGGTGATATAAAAGAACCAATATCTGATGAACATCACACGCAAAAATATCCCGGAAAGGTGAAAGAGGTTCTACAAGCGACTCGATCCACCGATTCGACGCCTGTAACACACAATAGACAAAAAAATTCCATGTTAACGTAACACATGAACGACGTCGATGAAACTTCATTTTGTGCGTTTCCCTGAGAAATGCTACCTGTACTTGTTTTGGTTATAAAGATAATGAAATTCCCAAGACGATCGGCAACAAATGGTATCATCTTTCTTTTCATCGAGCTAAATATTTTTCCGAGCCGGACCATGTCCCGCAGAAAAGAGTTGAGAATGCTTATCGCACTCCATATCAGAACGAGGGGAAACGATTGCGTATGAAGTTGAATTTGGGGGTCGTGCCAAAAGTGTCATTTCCTTGAACTCGGTTTTACACGGGATACCCGACTGGGTTGAATGGACTAAGACAGGCGCCCTTGCTTGGTCAAGTAGGCCTTGATGCGTGGCTGGCTCCAAACTTTTTCTTGAAGTTCCTGGATTTTTGGATGCGCCAGAGCAACATTCGGTTCGACGCCCTTCAAGACGTCGAGGCTCTGGGCCAAGTAGACGTCTGGCCAGGTCAGCTGCATGCGTAATAAAAAAAAAGATGTAAACAAATTTCCATTCTGAAATCGTCATTAGGAGAGACGAAAGAGGGAGCTTTGAAGACCTCAGAGCCGACGAGGTAGCCACTCTTCGAAGGGTTATTTTCGATGAACTTAACCATTCTCGTGAAGAACAAGGGCACGCTGTCAAACAACTTGGTTTTGTTTGCTTCTTTCTCCTCTTCACTGCTAAACCTGCAAGAAGAGAGTAGCAAGTATTAGGAATGAGGAACATGGCCTCCAGGAACAATACTCTATTCTTCATGTTGTTTCAGAGTGGTTTCTTGAAACTTCCATTGGAAACGTGTTTCAATCATAGTATTTATTCAGAGTAGTTAATCATGTGGAGATCACCGACACGAGATCGTTAAATCTCCTTATGAATTGCAGGAAAATCGGGCACGAATCATAAATTGGCGTCAAATGACTCGTCGTAGTCATGCCGTGATGGTAAAGGAGTCCACGAATGGTTTCTTTGTTTTTGGTTCCCCTAAGTAAGTCAGAGGATTATCTACCACTGGGGGATTATCAAATCAGTATGGGACGCTTCTCGAACTTTGTCTCAACATTTGTTATTTTCAGGTAGAGCTTTGGGTGGAAATGTAATCAGGGACACGGCACATTAGGATTTCCCGATCCTCTGTAACTATGAGATTCGTTCCCGATTCATGCCCATATCATCTGTATTCCTACACAAGTCATTCGATCCAAATTCTTATCTTCGTCTAGTCGATAATGATATCACAGGAAAAATTACAGTAAGTCTCACAAGGTTTAGCCGACAATCATACAAAAAATGAGAATTACTACTTTTTGAGCCACAGATTTTTGCCAGATAAGACTGGTTGAATTGTGTCAATTAGTCTCTTTGAGTGGAATTGCGCCGAGACTGATGATACCATGGATTCGTACCTCCACTTGATGAAGAGATCTTGCATGTCTCCCATGACATCCACGAGCATGTCACACTGAGCAGATTCCCAGGTGTCTTTGCCATCCATGCCATGGCTCCTGGCGATGAATCGAGCGATGGCGTTCGACTGAGCCAACACTTTGGTGCCCTCATCGGTAAATACCTGGAGCACAGGTATCTGTCCGAAAGGCATTTCCAGCTTCAAGTTTGGCCATTCATCTCTTGTGATTCGATGATCTTCAAACTCAACTCCGGATTGATGCAGCAGGAGGCGAATCACTTCTCCTCGTCCAGCAACATCGAAGTAAATCAACTTGTACTTTACTGCCATGGTTCAAAATCTCGATAAGGCCTGAATTGGGATGGGATGGGATTAAATGACCTTCAGGTACTCTCAGGACGATCCTATTAAATGAAGAATGCATTTGAAAATAATTTAGCATAAAGCATGCCTCGGGTCTGGTCTCATGTCAAGTCCACGTCTTAGTTGTAATCGAAACGAAACCCAAGAAACCAAAGTTCAGCGTAAGGTGACTCAACGTACAGTATGTAGAGTCTTTGGACGTGCTAATACATATAGGAAAACGCCTCTCTAGCGAGTGGCTCCATGCCTATGTCCTTGAACTAAGCTTATCTGGCCTGCATATTTGAATACACGTTTTGAGCTTCAGTTGGAAATCTGTTGAAGTATAGGTGAATCTGGCGACAGCGCCAAGAACAATCTCCATAAAAAAATGTCCATGGTAGAAGCTAGCGACACTCAGACGTCTGACTGCTAAGATTCTAATCTCGACTAAAGAGCAGATCGAATTACCGATTTGCCGTGAAGGGAACCGAAACCGAAACTGAAACCTCCCTTAACATGGAAAGCACATAGCTCGTTGAGGGCTGCAATATGGACTCACGACCACCTCGCCTTGGAACGGAATGAAGCTGCGAACGGCAGAGGACGACAGGCCGCAGACAGATAAGCGAGGTACACAAGCCTCCATGGAGATAAGAGGCCTGTTGGGTCATACCAGCACAAGTTGTCAGAAGGCTGTCGACCTCTCAGAATTTCAAGAAAATTTCACGGAGTAATTACTTTAGTTGTGGTGAAAAAATAGTTTTCAGTAAAATTATCATCTTCCTATCTCCGCGGGGGCTGAGATTTGGGAGTTGGTATGGAATTATTGAAACGTATGCCGAAGAATGGACAGGTAAGCGAACGCAGGAACACATAGAGAGAGATTCATTCATGGAAGTGTTTGGGAATCGGAAGGTTCATGTCACCTCTGGCATTTTTCATCCTTGTAAGCCTGTTTTATTTTCTTCAACTTTTGACCCATCAGGCTGCACGATCCCGCTATGCTGTGCTCTGCTTATTAACTCAAATAGCACTGCTGCGCGTCGCACTTTTCAGTCCTGTCTGGGTTTCATCATATCGTGCGTCGTCATTGTGCGGAAAACGTGTATTTCTACGCCGCCTTATCACAGTCCCATAAAAAGCCGCAGACAAGAGAGCATTTTATTTTCCAAGTTGGATACGGACCATATTCGAGCGGGGGGGGGGGGGGGGGGAAAGGGAGNGACCATATTCGAGCGGGGGGGGGGGGGAAATGAGAGATTGAGAGTAACAAGAGAATTACTCAATTTCCTTACGAGCCTATGAGTATCGCTGTATGTTCTCTCTCATGGACGGTGCTATGAAACCTATGATGCCGTAGTTAATTTTTTTTCTAAGTAGCATAAAGGAGAGAACTGCGTCGTTGACACAAATTTTTTTTCCTCAGATATTTCGACCCATCGACGAAAATCAGCTTTCACCGAAAATATTTTTCTTTGACGAAATACTCGTATGTGTTCGTCTAATTTGTTCGACATTTCGAGCGTCGTCCATTTGATTCAGCGGCATTCCAAGAATTCAATGACGTTTCTTTCGATTCATGGAAATTTCGGCATTCAGATACGTTCCCAAAGACATCTACAGTAGATATGCCCCCTCAAAGTTGGAGGATTTCGGATTTAATGCCCTTTTGGCAATCACAATGTATCTCGACTTCTAAGTAGGAGTTACTGATGTGTTTTTTTCCCCCCATTTATTAATTTCAAGGTTTCATGATCAGACTCTTCGAGGTCGGATAAGTTTTTTCGACACTTTTGAACACTATAAGGCGAATACATAAGTAAATTACATTCGTGACGATATCTGAATGAGCATTGTGGTAATTCAACAAATGGATCACAACACCACACGAATATATTTGGAAAACACGGGATCTCGTATCGACTTCTTCTTCTTATTTCGTAACTTCATTCGCGTAATCTCTCGGCAGAGATTTTTAAAGTTTATTTTAACTTCCTGGTTTTTTTTTTCTACTCGTAAGTTATGATCCACATTGGAATATGCAGGAAGACATTTGTTACCGACTGCAAAGACGAACGAAGAATTAAATTGAAGAAGTTACTAAACTCTAAAGAAGTCTCATAACGATACTTTCTGAGGCATAATATTTTGAATGCGAAGAGTCCTGAAAGTTGAATGCAAAATCTTTTGAAAACTATCTGGGATTGTCTGTTTCCAGGACATATTAGGCGGAAGTTGGGAGAAATTTGTGCTGGCAAAAAGGAACACCTATGTAGCTTGCCCATAGGACGAGATAAATCATCGCTTTAATCCCCTAATTCCAATCTTTGAGGGAGCTTATCTCAGCCTCCCAGGGAGAAGGTGGGTGACATTTTTTCAAGAGCCACTACTAGTCGACCCTGAAAACCGTTATCAGGAGAATTTCTTTCATTGCTTTCAGACCGTAGGAAACATGACATCCTATGGATTCGGGATGGGAGGCACTTCGCCAGGTTGTCATGTGCATCGTGAACAGTTGCTTCTGGTAGAAACGCTAGCGATGGTGGCATTCTTGATTTTCTCAAACCACATCGTCATGACATGCTCAGATATTTGCATGGTTGAGAACATCGAATTCAGAAGCTTCAGGCGATAAAAACGTAGTGCAGTTGCCGGTAATATACTTCGATCCTCCGGTCGGATTGGAATTTCATGAAAATGAACGTCATGCCATGTCACCTTCGAAAGTCACAGCCGGGAAATACGATTAAAAATGTTGAGATCTTGAAATCTTTGCTAGTCGTCTGGTTCCGACGTGCACTGCAATCATCTTTCATCTGCAGTGTTTGATTGGTCACTCTTCCGAGTGATGGATCTAATTAACCTTCCTTCAGCGGGATGCTTTCACTAGCAGCATTATAATTATGTTTTTGTCATTCTTTTCTCTCTGCAGTTGTACCGGATGAGGCATTACAAAGGAGCCGTTATTTTTTAAAAAAGAAGATCCACAAGTCCACGGTGTTTTAAGAGGATGTACCACTCGAGATTAGAAGACGGAATGCAGCTTCCTTTTCCAACGTTTGCCTCGGGCGTCCGAACTTGACTGAAACGGGTCAAATTACAATTTTTTTTCCCAGAGGGATATACTTTGGTGGTCCAAAAATATTTCCTACCTTTACATGGCTTGGGACAGAACCCCGTGAGACATTGACTAAGCCGTGGTCGCAACAAGTTACCTCTTTCATCTCCAATGAGAGCAGTCTTATTACTCATCGACCTTTCCCTACGTCGTTCTAATTGCTGGTAGTTTCAGTTTCAAGTGGATCCTTCATTTTCGAGTTCCCGGAGTTGTGCTGTCAAAACTGACGATTTCATCCGAATTGACAAAGCGATATTTCACCGTCCAAAAAGCAGACCGAAGAGACAAGAAAAATGTCACATGTCGTCAGGTCGGGGTGGGGCATGTTGGATGTGGCATCATGATCGTGGCATATTTGCTAAATAAAAAAACTTTCGAACGGAGGTGTGTGCCGATGCATTTCCCTGTTGAAACACCAGTTCTCTCAAGAGTTGGTCGCTGTCGGGGAATGGCTGCAAGCACAGACCTTCCAGCACTTCCGCTTAGAATAGCCAATTAATCACTTGACCTTCGGGCATGTATTCAAGATGTACGATACCCCCCGGGTCGAAGGATACGATGAGCATGAATCAGCTGCGAGACCTGTTCATGCGGAATCTCTTGGGTCGCGATGATGGAAGTGGACTTCCATACGGAACTGTGGCGTTAAGTTTCGGAAAAAAAGAGGTAAACCCATATTTTATCGTCCCGTCAAAGAACATGGCGTGAGAAGCTGTATTCCGGAAATGATCTGTGCATACGTCAATCCACCGTAAATGTTGGTCTGTTGTGCCTAGGGTCCAAGTATGTCAATGCTGGAGCAACCCTTCCAACGCTTTAAACTGATGTTTAATGCATTTAGCTTATCGTTAATTTCTATGCCTTCTTCGTATAGGGTGATCGTGATGAACACGAAAAGGCACCAAGTTATTTAAAGCACTGAAATATATATATATTTCACTGCTTTAAATAAAATGCTTTAAATATATATTTTTTGAAAGGTTAGTACAGGTTTAATGCACTACTAGAAGTTCGAAGAAGTCGAGTAGGTGCACCACATGACTAGAGAACATGCCACTTCGCCACCTCCAGCTACTGTTGCACAACAGAAACAGAAAAGCCCATGCATGTATAAGGATTGAAGAATGCAAACGAAGCTTTTCTCATTTTGTGCATCTTTCTTAAATACAGGTTACAGCAACTGCTTCGTAAACCGGGATATAGGACTCTCCCAATGTGACGACTCGAGACGAAACGAATACATTTGATTAAGATTGAGCAACATTAAATGGATAGTACACACTAATACAGAATGCTCAATCTCCATCAAAAGCCATATGAGAATGAAAGTGATCGATTTCGAAGTTCACTTTCATGGCCACGGCAAGTGTCCGACTTTTCTAAACCCAGTTTATTCGTTCAATCCAGTGCCCTGTAGGAAATTAAGTCGGGCGTTCCTGCTTGGTCCTGTAAGCCTTGATACGTGGTTGACTCCATATTTTCTCTTGATGCTCCTGGATTTTGGGATGATCCGCAGCAATATTCGGTTCAACGCCCTTCAAGATGTCAAGTGTGTAGGCCAAGCAGACATCAGTCCAGGTCAGCTGCATGCATAAAAAAGGCAAATGTATGGGAAAATCCCTGTCGAAAACGATTAGAAGTGATTAAGGAAGAGATGGAGCTTCGGAAACCTCAGAGCCGACAAGGTAACCACTCTTCGATGGGTTGGCTTCGATGAACTTAGTCATTCTCGTCAGGAACAAAGGTACACTCTCAAGGAGTTTGGCTTTTTTCTCTTCTTTCCCCTCATCGCCACCGAACCTGTTAGATGGGAGCAGCAAATATCACGAGTTGGAAGAGTGTTCAATTTCTCCTGCCACTTCATGGCTTCCTTTAGCTGAATAATTTCGCAATTCTTTAGTGTTGACGTATTTTTGGTTAAAGTTTCATGCAATTTTTTATTGACTCAACAAAAAAAACGTTTAAAGGGTTGGTTGACATCATCAAGGAGAAATCGTGCCAACAAAGTTCAAATTAGTTTTGAATTAGATTTGATGGAGTCAAGACGAGGGATTAGTCTTATGTAACTTCCGTGCCAAGCTGAGAACCAGAAGGGAAACATTAACAACTGGATCAAAAAAATTTTCTTTGCAAGGATAAATACAATAAACGCAATAAATAACAAACGCAATCCCCGAAGCATACCAGGGCGCCTACTGGTGGTCTATCAAAAAGCAATACACAATGCTTTTTCCGTACCATGCGAAAGCAATACCTACATGCCCGTTATTTTCAAGTTGAGAACTGGGTGAGAATTCAAAGACATTGCAAAAATCGATCATCTGCAATTAGCAGATTTCTTTCCATGAATCAACAAATGCCCAATTCAATCTGCATTATGGAAGTGTACTGGATTCTGTAACTGCACTCCTCGTCAAATCAACCATGATATGGCAGTGTCTCATAAGAATTAGGGGCCGGTTACTGTAACTTGATTTGAAAATAAGTATTTTTGTGCCACAGAATATTACCAGAACTAAAGTCTGATGGAGGACTGATGGTATTAAGACAAATATTCAGCTCGAGTGGAACTACGCCAAGATTGATAAAACCACGTCCTCTTACTTCCACTTGATGTAGAGATCTTGGATATCTCCCATGACATCCACGAGCATGTCACACTGGGCAGATTCCCAGGTGTCTTTGCCATCCATGCCATGGCTCCTGGCGATGAATCGAGCGATGGCATTCGACTGAGCCAACATTTTGGTGCCCTCATCGGTAAATACCTGGAGCACGGGAAGTTGACCGAAGGGCATGTCTTTCTTCAGGCTTGGCCATTCATCTTTGCCTTTGACTCGGTAATCTTCAAATTCAACTCCGGATTGATGCAGCAGGAGGCGACTCACTTCCCCTCGCCCGGCGAGATCAAAGTAAAGCAACTTGTATTTGACCGTCATGGTTCAGAATTCAAGAATACTCAGAACTTATTGGAATGTAATGGATTTGAGCTACTCAAAATAAACCCTGAAAATGATAAAAAGAACAATGAATTCATTTGAAGGCTACTCAGCGCAGAAAAGGGTTGGCCGCGATTTTATAAGCCTACTTCAGAGTGGTACTTATGGGAAATATCAAGAGAGAATTCAAATCAGCTAAATCGTTTCGAAAAAAGCCGTTCGAAGTTAGCACTCTATGCACGAGGTGAACACTTAAACTTAGGTAAACTTAAATAAGCAATACTACGAGTACGCTATTATTATACTCAATAATATTATAGGCCAAGAATTCACGAGTCTATGTCTTTCGTGACGTGTTCTATGGTTATGTCAAACACCTGTCGACATTTAGGCAGGGCTGATGACAACCCTGGATTCTTCTGTCACAATACTAATGTTACATGGAAATCAACGACATTATGGGCTCTGGCCGTGAATTTTCTCGCATTTGTGCTGCCTGACTGATCGAATTATCGACTTGCCACAGAGTGAGCTAAAACTGAACGTGACCTTTAGCGCTGAAAAATGCACACGCCTCATTCGTGGATCCCAAATGGAAATCTCTTATTCGCGTCTACCTGCTTTTGTACGGCGGAGACCGTCAAGGCCGTAGGAAGATAAGAGTAAGACAGATTGTCACATTAAACAAACCTCCACAGAGATAAAACGCACGTGATGGACGACCCCTACTTAAGCACTTGAGAACAGGAAATAGCTCGTATAACTAGCCAGCCCGTGTTACTTTCGTCCATGCAAATCCAAGGAGAACCTTGCGTAGAGTGGAATCATGTCGCCGTCGAAACACAGGTTAACTCATCAGTCGACTTCGTGTCGTCGTTCCCTTCGTTCGTCCTGCATGTGAATGCTGACAATTGTTTGCTTTCCCTCGGGACGCGCACGAGACATTGGAACGAGTACGTTGACTACGACAGAAACCTCAACCTCAATGCAGACAGACGTTTTGGGAAAGGATTTCTGCTCTTCCTTGCGTGACAGTCATGAGAGGTAGCTCATAACACCACATGCACACACTACAAACATGTCGTTCAGGAATCGATATGAATTCCTAAAACGTCATTATCATTCAAAACCTAACAGCAATTGAGAATTTTGATCTAAGTGCAGTTTCCTTATGAATGAAACAAAGAAACAGGGCGAGTTATCTACAACTGACATCGATGAGATGTCTTTGATCGATGATTTCTTTTATAGAGTTTTTCACCCATCCACATCAGAAGATGCACTGGTATCGTTCGTCCCGTGTCCTTCCGCCCAGCCTAAGGCCTGGAAAGGCATAAGCATGTAGGCCGAGCGACTTAGGCTAAGGTAGCAACATTTTAGGTCAAATAGGACGAAAAAGTCACTTGATGCGAATGGGTTGATTAAAGGGAGCCTGATTTACTAAACGACATGGAAACGAAGTATGCTTTAGTCCACTTCCGTTGCTCATATTATCGCAATCTTATCTTTCCCTTGAAGAGGGATGACTTGCATGCGTGTGGTGAAAATCTCAGGAATAGAGTCCTGTATGTACAAAGATCATATCTTCAGGAATGCTTTGCCCTACGTCGTCGCCGAATGATTGTCTCTCTGAAGGAACGCATTTGTCACATACTTAGGCCTATCAGCTTTCACTTTTTGGGATAATCTAATTAAATCGAGCCTGTGCAGACCATACCTTCGTTTCGTTGCACAAGTAGGCGTCGAACACAGATGTTCAAAAGTTCCAGTCAATTCGGTCTTATGACTATGCAACGCACACGATGGAGTAAAGCATTCGACCCAGAACCCACAGATCCAAAGGGCAAGCGCTCACCATAAGACAGTCCAGGCAGGAAACGAGAGACGCCTGACAATACATGAAAGGACTCAGGGAACTTAACCCATCCAAAAACCACCGAAGGAGAGAGACGACCTTCCATTCCTTTTGCACTTTCTTGGAATGCCTTCGGCGATCAGTGAGAGAATGAGAATGTCATTCTGCTTTTTTTTTTCACACTGACCTCAACCAAAAATAGACCCATAAGGCCTTTGACCTTGAGCCTTACAAATTCATCGGAACGAAAGGAGGGGGGGGGGGATTGAAAAAGAAAGAATGATGACCGATATGATGAAGGGTCAGCTGGGATGAATTCGGTTGGTAGCTGTCTTGGCTCCCGTGGCAGTGGAACAAGGGTATTCAATGGTATCAGGCATTTGTGACCTCGTGCACCTACTACGCTCTTGTGGATTTGGGATATCTATTTCAGTGAAGGCTGAACCAGAGTAATTTTTCAGTCTATAACCCATTTTAACATCGATGGCGCTATGGACCAATCTTGGAAGGTGTGACGAAAGAGATGTTTTCAAAAAGTATGGATCGTGTAGCTCCAATTTCTTGTCCTATCAGTGCACGCTCTGTTCTCATAATCTTCGGAGTCTACTCCCTCCGATATCGAGTAGTGTATTTTAAACAGACGTCCTTTGTCTTCTTTGTTCAATTAGTGAGTCCATAAAAAAACAATGGAGTTTTAACCTTTTCCACATGAGAGACACTGCTTCTCTGTCCCTATCTTCCGCATGGTTGAAAAAATCTGCTGCTTCGGATAAAAGACGGAAGAGTCTGGCAGCGGGCCATAATCACGAGTTATGTAATTCCTCGTTGTTCTCGTTTGAATAGCAGCTTTGGCAATGTAAAACCGGTCGATGGTGTAGGCGATGACATATTATGGTGAAAATGTTGAGATATAAAGTGAGCCTATCAAAGATGATTAACAAATATAATCCATTTATAATATAATGACCTCGTAGTGACCCGTTATGTCCTCTCACTTCGCTTCATGACTCGCCCGCCTATATGAATTTCACTTACGCTTCTTACAACTGATCGCCCTAATTTTGCCTGTAAAACAAACTGGCACTCTGATAAAGACGAGGGGGCGCGGAAGATAGAGCAGGACATTGAACTATTGTCATGAAGTGAAAGGACAATAACCTGATGAATCTTTTATCTTACTACGTTGACATAGGCCCGAGCAACACTCGTGGAAAGGACAGGAAGTAAAAAAAAAGTGCATTGCTGTTGATTGCCACATTTGACAAAGTGGTACAGCAGCTTCTTGGGAAACGTTGATGTGTCAGATATGCTGATAGTTTCACCGCATTGCCTTCAGGTCCAAGAAATGGTTCTAATGCATTGCGTTATCTTTTATGATGTATGGATTTCCATACTTCGACTCTAACCTGCTGAAGTAGTGTAGAGGGTCCAGGTAAATTTATGCCGAGGGTCCGACGAGACTAAGGGCATTATATTGAAAGACGCAATGCGGATATAAACTTTGTCAGCGGTTCCCAACCTTTTCCTAAGTGTGACCCAATCCAAGACAGTTGCAAAATCTTGCGACCTCAACGTCATGTCTAGACGAGATCAGAATTCGCCTGTCGAAATATAGTATTATGATGAAAGTTAAAACATCACCCTGCCAGACGTCTTTGCGACCCTACAGTATATGGGGTCGCGGCCAAAATTTTGGGTTGAGAACCGCTGCTTTAAGTCACCACGCCAAAAGGGATGCAATCCATGAATCCCTTTTAGGAACATAAAGAATAGAAATTCGAGCGTCACCTATGAGGTGGGAGAAACTCCGAGTTTAACCCTTTAATGAATGATTTTTTTATTTTTCGGCGGAAAATTTTTTGAAGGTTTCACTTACACGGGTCAAGCGGGAAAAAAAATTGTTTAAATCAAATTTTTAAGTGCCATGAGAATGGCTGGGAGGGAAGATTGGATGGAGGAGAGGACAAAGATGATTGCCGGTCAGGTGTGCTACCATTACACCACCGAACCCGGGACATTCAGTCGTGCCTCTCAACACTGTCTCGCATCACATTAGCGGGCCCGAGAATGTTATTGTTGCTCATTTGTTACAAACAGCATTTTCAGTTTTCTAACCCATGCTGCATGGACGCTAGAGAGCTCAGTCATCAACATTAGTGTATACCTCAACGCAAAAGAAAATGTAAAAATACGGATGAGCCTGGACGCTGAATTAGCGTAAAATAATTGCACCAAAAACGTTAATCTGTCACACGACGAAGCCAGGTGTTTTTAAATTGCTTTCCACCAGGCGTGCATGGCACCTGGCGATCGCATGGTTGCTAGGTATAAGGACCGGACTGTTACACATCTGCTACGAACAGATTTACCTCAGGAGCTCGCTACCTACGCATTCTAAAAATGTTTATTTGGTATGTAGCATATCTGCTTCGTTATGCATTAAAAGGTTATAATAAAACGCTAATAAAATAAAAAAGGGTAATAATAAAACGCTAAACTCGCCCTGCTTCCCTATCCAACTTCCTAAAGCTTAATCTATATCTGTTTTCAACAAGGTATTCAAGAACCGAGAGGAAGCCATTGTGTAAAACTTTGTGTAACGTAGCTATCTCTTCATTCTGACAATGCAAACATGATCTGTAAGTAATCATTGTTCGGGAGATCGAAATTCCATGGGTTGCGTAAACGTTAAGTAAACAGGCCGTATCAGCTCTCAACAGAAACCCTTGAAAAAAAAAGCCAATGGCGCAGTACCCTTGTCCATATCATCGTCACACGAGGAATAATTTTAATGGAGACGGCAGATTTTTTTCCATTTTCCAGGCCAATACACGATGATTGAAAATACCAAGGAAATAAAATAAAAATAAAACACGGGACTGTAATCACATAAAAATGGCCAAAAATTAGCCTTGAATAATGAGGGAACTTCCTTGATATCAATACTTTGGTCTGACGGTCTCAATTCACGGAATTTCAGGAAATATCAGTCAGAAAATCTACATTTGATTCTTACCCAATTGGGAGAACCTAGCGCGGAGGATCAATAAGACTTAATGAAAAAGCAATCATGATGTTTTCGGGAGATCTTAGAAGCATCTCTGTTCCAGGATGAAAATTGTAGTAAGTGACAATATTAACTTACGAGAGTTTTCTCGAAAGATAGGAAACCTATCGGCTCGAAAGTTTTGCATGGGACAGCTGCCCATGAGTGCTGATCCGCTTAAAAAAGGGGTGGCTCTAGTTCGTTGCATCTCAGTTTCGCAGGTGTATGTTTTGGCGTGAGGAAAAACGTCACTTGCAGTGAAGGGTTGCTACAAGATTATCTTTCTTATCACTCATCC